GATTTGATAGCATACTACAGAAACTTGCACACCCGAATGGGAGACAGTCAAAGTCAATCGGGGGTCGATTTAATAGCATACTACAAGAAACTTGCACACCCGGAATGGGAGAGACTGTCAAAGTCAATCAGTCTGACTTGATAGCATACCGCAGAAACTTGCACACCCGTGAATAGGAGACCGTCAAAGTCAATCGGGGGTCGACGGATAGCATACTACAGAAACTTGCAATAACTTTAACGGGAGATAATGTGTCAATCTGGGGTCGATTTAATAGCATACTACAGAAACTTGCAGGCTGACCCGAATGAGACAAAGGCCAAAGTCAATCGGGGGGTCGATTTAATAGCATACTACAGAAACTTGCACACCCGAATGGGAGACCGTCAAAGTCAATCGGGAAATGATTTAATAGCATACTACAGAAACTTGCACACCCGAATGGGAGACCGTCAACGTCAATCGGGGGTCGATTTAATAGCATACTACAGAAACTTGCACACCCGAATGGGAGACCGTCAAAGTCAATCGGGGATCGATTTGATAGCATACTACAGAAACTTGCACACCCGAATGGGAGACCGTCAAAGTCAATCGGGGGTCGATTTAAGAGCATACTTTACAAAATGATCCGAGAATCTGCACACACCGAGTGGGAGACGGTGATGAAAACGTCCGCCCTTGTACGCTGGATGGCACTATTTCACTATAGTAAGAGGTAGAGGCACCTCGGTCATATTGTACAACATACCAAAGAAGTTCCACACCCGCATGGGAGACCCTCAGAGTCAATCGGGGGTCGATTTAATAGCATACTACAGAAACTTGCACACCCAAATGGGAGACCGTCAACGTCAATCGGGGGTCGATTTAATAGCATACTACAGAAACTTGCACACCCGAATGGGAGACCGTCAAAGTCAATCGGGGATCGATTTGATAGCATACCACAGAAACTTGCACACCCGAATGGGAGACCGTCAAAGTCAATCGGGGGTCGATTTAATAGCATACTACAGAAACTTGCACACCCGAATGGGAGACCGTCAAAGTCAATCGGGGGTCGATTTGATAGCATACTACAGAAACTTGCACACCCGAATGGGAGACAGTCAAAGTCAATCGGGGGTCGATTTAATAGCATACTACAGAAACTTGCACACCCGAATGGGAGACAGTCAAAGTCAATCGGGGGTCGATTTAATAGCATACTACAGAAACTTGCACACCCGAATGGGAGACAGTCAAAGTCAATCGGGGGTCGATTTAATAGCATACTACAGAAACTTGCACACCCGAATGGGAGACCGTCAAAGTCAATCGGGGGTCGATTTAATAGCATACTACAGAAACTTGCACACCCGAATGGGAGACCGTCAAAGTCAATCGGGGGTCGATTTAATAGCATACTACAGAAACTTGCACACCCGAATGGGAGACCGTCAAAGTCAATCGGGGTCGATTTGATAGCATACTACAGAAACTTGCACACCCGAATGGGAGACAGTCAAAGTCAATCGGGGGTCGATTTAATAGCATACTACAGAAACTTGCACACCCGAATGGGAGACCGTCAAAGTCAATCGGGGGTCGATTTAAGAGCATACTTTACAAAATGATCCGAGAATCTGCACACACCGAGTGGGAGACGGTGATGAAAACGTCCGCCCTTGTACGCTGGATGGCACTATTTCACTATAGTAAGGGGTAGAGGCACCTCGGTCATATTGTACAACATACTAGAGAAGTTCCACACCCGCATGGGAGACCGTCAAAGTCAATCGGGGGTCGATTTAATAGCATACTACAGAGAACTTACACACCCGAATGGGAGACCGTCAGAGTCAATCGAGGGTCGATTTAATAGCATACTATACAAAATGATCCGAGAATGTGCACACACCGAGTGGGAGACGGTGATAAAAGCGTCCGCCCTTGTACACTGGATGGCACTATTTCACTATAGTAAGGGGTAGGGGCACGTCGGTCATATTATACAACATACCAGAGAAGTTCCACACCCGCATGGGAGACCGTCAAAGTGACTCGGGAGTCGATTTGATAGCATACTACAGAGAACTTGCACACCCGAATGGGAGACCGTCAAAGTCAATCGGGGGTCGATTTGATAGCAAACTACAGAGAACTTGCACACCCGAATGGGAGACAGTCAAAGTCAATCGGGGGTCGATTTAATAGCATACTACAGAAACTTGCACACCCGAATGGGGGGAGACAGTCAAAGTCAATCGGGGTCAGATTAATAGCATCTACAGAAACTTGCACGAATGGGAGACCGTCCAAGTCAATCAGGAGTCGATTTAATAGCATAAGCACCCGAATGGGGAGACCGTCAAAAGTCAATCAGGGGTCGATTTGATAGCATACTACGAAACTTGCACGCACCCGAATGGGAGACAGTCAAAGTCAATCGGGGGTCGATTTAATAGCATACTACAGAAACTTGCACACCCGAATGGGAGACCGTCAAAGTCAATCT